CTGATAAATACACTTTGTTGGGTAGAAAGCAAAAAGGTTTAGTCTGTAAATCCAGTAATAACTTGATTATTAACCAGCCTCAGAACATCTGAGTCATATAGGACTCCCTAATCATTTGTATCTGGGGCTAAACGGTTTCCCCCTTAGTGTGGAACTGATGGTTTGAGCTGTAAAAGAGCCGCTACGCCATCTACTGGCAGAACAGTGGAACTGCCCTCAGAAAAACAGAGTGGTTCCACCAGGCACATATTTCTGAAATGTAAATATATACAAAAAAAGCAGAGAAAACCATTAAGAGGTCAATATACTGGTTTATTTCTCATCAAATATTTAAATGACCATAAATAAAACAGTTACCTTCTTGATCCGTTCCATTAGACTTAGAACAATCATAGTCCTTCCCTCTAGTTTATTCCTTTAAATTGTCCCTTTTCTTTTCTCTGGTCGTTTAGCCCTTTACGTTTGGTTCTGGGCTTGATAATCAAACTCTTCAAACCTTCTAAAGAAAAGGTCATCTTATCATTGCAGAAACTCTAATGGGAGGAGCTGGGATTGGGCCAAGATGTTTTCAGATTGAGGAAATATTTTTTTCTTCTCCAATTCAGCCCTTTGGGAACCTGCTGCTAATCTATCCCTTTACAACCTATTAGAATAGATCAGACTCTATCAGAGAGCCAATAGGTGTAAGGAACAACCAACCTCATGTTGATTTGTGCACAGCAGCACATTTCAGTAATCCCACACACCTCAAACAAGTCAAACATAATCCCAGAGCAGATCTTTTAGATGTGGACACAGTAGAAGGTGCTGTGTTTCTGATATGTGCACACACCATGAAGTTCAGTCTAGAACCATACCCATAAGAAGAGATCCCACTCTCCAGGGAAGGCAATAGATTGTATAGTTATCTTCAAGACAGAGCAAAATCACTACCCTTAAACTATACAAACTACTACCTCACACTGTGAGAGCAGCTGGAGAAACATCTGTATCCATTAAGAGACTGTTGTTGAGGAGAAGAGCAACCGGTGTCCATGGAGAGAGACGCGGGGATGCGTGTGTTGCACTTTGAGAAAGACAGTAGGTTGGATAGTTATCTCCCAGTGTGGGTGTGATCCTAAAACTATACAACCTACTACCTCATCCCACAGAACAAACCAGAGGGCGGCTTCAGGAGGAGCTCCCACAGAGCGGAGGAGACCATCCCGGTGGGTCCAGACCGGGCGGGGGGGCGGGCGGCTGGAAGGGAGAGAGTTTGGGTCAGTACAGATGACAAAGTGGCCTGAGTTAAAATGCACAGCAGCAGCCTAAAGATCAATTTCAGACATTTAACACTTTTTGTGTGGTCTCATTAGAGAGCCAGTACAGATGTGCCTCTGCTGGATCAATTCATGGCCTCTGTGATGCTTTTATCACTATTATTTTAAATATTTGGAGAAAAATTTCAGACAGAATTCCTGACATTTTCTGCTGCGGGTCTTAATCCTTACCATAAGAACATGCGAGGGCATGGGGGGGGGGGGGCATTATGTGGTATCCAGTAGCAGTGTTGGCAAGAAAACGTGTTTCTGCCTTTAAAGGGAAACCATAAGGTCAACCAAGGAAGCCGTCATATTTAGTGGGTATCCACAAGAGGAACGGAAATATCTGGGATATGACGTATCAGGGAAGGTGTCATTCAGTCAGTTATCATTTACTGATATGGAGCAGAAAAACTGAGAGGCATCATCAATGTCATCTCCAGGGGCTTCATCCATCCTGTAAAGCTGACATTTGCTCTCATGCCATTCAAATCTGTCTTTAAACCCTGCAAACATACGTACATTCTTTAAAAAACACATTCTCAGAAATGTCCATTTTGTCGTATTTTGATTCAAGAATGAAATAATCAGTTCATGGAAAGCCGGCTTCAAAAGCAGATCCCGTCTCGTACTAAGAAGTAATGGCTTACGTTTTGACCCGAGGTTATCGGCAGAGGCACAAGGGTAGTATGGTACACAACATAGTCCATTTCATCACCATTAGCCACCAGATGGACAATAACACTGACCTCTGAACAGCTCTGAGAACAGACCAATCAACAGTCCTCTTTAGCCCCAGTCACACAAGCATGACATCCTAGAAATCTGGAGGCAAATTAATGTCAGTGTCATGTGTGACAAAATTCCCTGTGACTCTTCTTTATATGGGCAGAGGAGTTTCACAGTGGGGGGGAAGCGGGCAGATCCACATCAGCCTCTCCGTCCTACACCATAAATCGGGGCCCAGTTCAGAGAGGTGCCACTGGTCCTGGATCCAGTCACCAATGTGCTGCTCAAAGGTTCCTGCTCCGTGAGGTTCCACAACACTAATGCAATAAATAAAGCTTTTTTTTTTTTTTAAACCAAAAGACTGAAAACTATTGAGCTGTA